TGAGACACTATTAAGACTTGACTACATGAGCAAATACCTCGCATTATATTTGAGCACATACAATAAAAGCATGTACTTTTTAGCCCTTTGCTTATCTGTGGTTAGGCACTAGGGGGGGTGGGTTTTACCCAATTCAGGAACTCACTTTTTAGCTTGAGTGTTCTGTTTCTTACAAAGAACACTGCACTGTAATAATGCTATATGGAGGCATTGGTAAACTTGCAGATAACAGTCATGCACCGCATAAAGACATCTTGGTCAACGATGGACTACATATGACAGTGGTGCCATGAGATCAGTACCATAGATCCCAGGTGTATAGTGGGCTACACCATCTAGGTCTGTGTAACTACACTCCATGGTGTTTGCACAGTGACAGAATCGCCTAATGATGCATTTCTCAGAATGTGTTCTCCTTGTTAAGCAACGCATGACTGTACTTAAGTCGTGATTCTAAAACCTTGTATTTATAGAACAAGTTCCCTTTGGGGAGTACTCACATCCTTCGCAGTTCTTTTTGCATGGGTATTGTGTGACTGCAAATTCTCTAATTCTTATTCACTTTGTCTCTTTACTGCAGGGGTCAGCAGTTTGCTCAGCAGATACAGCAACAGAATCCTGAACTTATAGAGCAACTTAGAAATCACATCCGGAGCAGATCATTCAGCAGCAGCACTGATGAACATTCCTGACCTGACCAGGGACCCTAGCCCAGAATGTAAATGGTTATGGCTCTGAAGTGCTTGCGTAGATAGTGGCCAAAACCAAGAAACCTGAAGAATAAATCTGTCTAGACAATAGGTTTATCACAAACAGACTTGACCATAACATGATTCCTTTGTAAACAAATGTTCAGTAGTCTTGTGAAGTGCCAATATAGCACTGCACGGCATTCCATTTTCAAATCTTCGTCATCATATTTGTATATTAGACTTAATAGCAGAGTATATTTATTGAAGAGTAAGGCTGTTTATTGGTGGGTTCCCTGGCTCCAATTCCCTTAAGTGAACTTTTTTGAGGGGGAGATGACCAAGAGGGAAGTTTTCTCATGCTGGTTTAGGAGATACAGACTTGCCACTGAGCAGCATGTCTGGAGAGAAGAAATTTGATATTTAGGTTCAGCTTTGACAGTGCTATCAGAACTGTCTTTAATGCTGCTTGTTCTGATGGGTGACAGGGAATCTTAAGAGCTGGTGGAAAGCAGCATTTGGAGCAAGGGCTGTTTTTTTGAAAAGAAAAAATACATGCTATGAATGTGTAGAAAGTGAAGGTAGGATGCTCAGGTTTTCTGCATAGTTCTTAACTAATCTTGCCTGCAGTTTGGTATTGATAACATTAGCATGGCCAATTGCACTAAGTACATAATAAAATACATTTAGAAATCCTTAATGGTACTGGTTAGGGCAGTTGTATAACTATTCGATTTAACTAGCACAATTTCCCCAGTGGTGATGTTACCATGGAAACTGTCAACTATACCTACATTTAAATAAGCCAAGGGCTTGGCCCTTAAGTTAAGGATTTTCTAAGTGGCATTTAATTATGTGCCTATAAACACTATTTTTTTTAACTCAGTAATTATTTGATGGATTACAAAAAGCATCTGTCACTAACATTGCTTGTTCATGTAATCCTTTGCTATAATTTGGCTTGACATATCACTTTTATGCTTAAATTTAATTTGATGCAACTTAAACATAACAGGGTCTTAAAAACATTTTATTGAAATTTGAATACATATTAATTAGTGGAGAGAAGTGGCATTAGGTATTAATGGCACGGCTCTAACTACATAGATGGATGAGACTCTTCTAATTCCAACTGGAATTTCTTTTGTTTGTTAATTATGAAATTGCTAAAGTTGGGCAGATGTAACGATTTCACAAATATTGTGAGAGAAAACTAAAAAAGAAAGCAATATAAAATTAAATCAGTAACACTGGTGATGATCAGGGCCTTAATATAACTATTCTCCTCAAAAGACTAATTACTTAGTATCTTCAAGTTTAAAAAGCAACTTTTCCTTTCTTTCCCTTTGTGAGATTAGAACAGTGATTCTATACTGTCACTTTAAGAATCACCTGGTGAATTCGTTAAAAATGCAGATTCAGGGCCACACTTTCAATTTTTATTTCAATTTTTATTTAGTAGGTCTTGTAATCAGTCCTAGGAATTCCCATATTAAACAGCACACCAGGTGGTTCTGATGTAGGTCCAAGGACTCTAATTTAGAGCAACATTGGATTAGAGATTTCTCCTCATTTTGACCAGCAAATTCCTAACTGCGTGGGCTCAGGCCACAACAAATGATTATGAACCTATAGTTCTGGCTGGAGAAGTGCAGGACTTAAATCTTAGGCCCTCTGAATTAAATCTCCTATATTCCATCTAAACCAACTTAATTTTTCATGAAGTTAAATTCAGCTCCTAGTGTTCAGGTGTTATACAGAATGAAGTATGAACTAATCACATGGAAGTGATGACTGTGATGGAAAAAAAAAGAAGCGATGTTCATCCTTTTTTTTTTTTTTTTCTGTGAGGAAGATCAGCCCTGAGCTAACATCCATGCCAATCCTCCTCTTTTTGCTGAGCAAGACTGGCCCTGAGCTAATGTCCATGCCAATCTTCCTCCACTTTATGTGGGATGCTGCCACAGCATGGCCTGACAGCGGTGCACTGGTGTGCGCCCGGGATCCGAACCCGGGCCACCAGCAGCGGAGCACGCACACTTAACCACTACGCCATGGGGCCAGTGTTGATCCTGAATTAAAAATTAGTCACTCTTGGGGCCGGCACCGTGGCTTGGCGGTTGAGTGCGTGTGCTCCGCTGCTGGAGGCCCGGGTTCGGATCCCGGGCGCGCACCGACGCACCGCTTGTCCGGCCATGCTGAGGCGGCGTCCCACATACAGCAACTAGAAGGATGTGCAACTATGACATACAACTATCTACTGGGGCTTTGGGGAGAAAAAGGGGGAAAAAAAATTAGTCACTCTTATCCAGGGTTGAATAAGAAAATGTTTCTAGCATAACTATCTTGAGTGCATTAAAAACGCTTTCAGATCAATAAAATTGGTAAGCCTCTAGGTGACTGACTAGGAAAATAGAGAAAATACAAATCAACAGTATCCAAAGAGAGAGAGGGGATATCACTACAGACCCTGTAGACATGGAAAGGATAATTAGAAAATACTGTGACCAACTCTAGGTCCATATATTTAATAACTTAGATGAAACAAATTCCTTGTAAGATACAAACTACCAAGGCTCACCGAAGAAATAGATTATCCTCCAGAAAACGAAACCATGGGCCCAGACAATTTCAATGGTGAATTCTACCAAACATTTAAGGGAGAGATAATATCAATTCTACACAATCTCTTCCGGAAAATAGAAAAGGAGGAAACACTTCCCAACTCATTTAGCCATTACTCTGATACCAAAATCAGACAAAGATATTATAAGAAAGAACACTTTAAAACAATGTCTTGATTTGCTAATATCTGTAGTTAAGGTAGCTATTCTTTTTACATGAAGTAATGGGAATTGGTGTATTTCTTCCATTTTACCTTTCTAATTTGTTTCTTTGCTAATATATCAGTCATAACAAATTCAATCTAGATGATATCTGTCCACTTACCTGGATTTCCATTCTATTCAAGCCATTTTTCCTCTTTAAGTAAAATCACTTTGGAATCACTGCATTGCAAGCTATTTCAAGAAAGTTTTGTGTAGTTGGATTGTTAGCTACTCTTAAAATTGTAAGGAATGCCCCAAATATTATTCTTGCTTGTCTGGAACAAGAGAGCATCAGAGTAAATCTTTATATACACTCTACTTAGGAATGATTGACTTGCATTAACGACATTTCATTGTAGTAGCTGTAGCTGTTATGGGATGCTGTGCAAAACTTAACATGTCCTTTTTATGCAAATGACATTTTCATTTAATGTACCAAATTGTTTATCTAATTTTTATAATATTGTTTAAACAGATCCTTTTTAAGATGATATTATCTAACCTTTACTTATAACAACATATGTCTAGGTTATTGCTTATAAAAAGACTTTGTAATTAAATCAAGATAACATTAGCAGATTCCAAGTGAGCATTATATGTTACTTTTTAAATTTGAAACAGTGAAACAAAAGGTTCAGTCAAGAGAAGATGCCTGAAAAACAGTCGAAGTACCTGGTGCAGTGGCTATAAAGTTTTATTTCATCATTTAATCAATCTTACTCATTTTGGAAGAAAGACAGACTTCAGTTTTACACTGCTTGCACTTTATTTTGCACAGACATTTCATTAATTATTACTCCAATTTAAGGGGCAAATCTCATTCTGAATATAGCTTTCATTTTGGACCAAACAATTTGTCATGGCAATAAATAATTACGCATTTAAGAAAACCAGTTTTTGTATTTGACTTAATGCACTCATTTAAGCAATTATATATATATATCCTTCAATTTCAACATACCAAAATATCTTCTTATTTTAACAGCATAAGCTTTTGTTTTCCTGACAAAATATTGAAACTTTTATTCCATTCATGTCGCAAAAGTTGTTAACAATCTTACCTTTCTCACTGTTTTGTTCATGCAGTAAGTAAATTAGTGTGATTACATGCAAATATAGAAAGTTTTATAATATTAATACATGATTGAGAGTTCGAAATCAAATTGCAGAAGCTGAAAATCCTTTAAATATGCCTTATGAAAATAACTGGATTATTTTTCAATGGGAAAAAAACCCCAGACTTTTGGGCTTAGAATTAGAAAATGATCAGCCTTCTTAATTAAAAGCTAACAAAGTAATCAACAATCTAAGAAATAAAACCAATTCTGATCTGCTGTTAGTAATTGAAACTTAGACATGTCTGTTTGTATGTATACACAAGCACAGATATATACAAATACAGTAATTTTGAAAACAACTAGAAAAACTCATACTTTGTTAACAAGTACAAGGTTACTTGAGGACTACCCCCGTTGTTTTAAACAAACTTTTTCTGTTGACTGAGGAGCTAGGAAAAAAACTGGGATTAACTGAAATATTTCTAAATAAAGTATTAGAAGAATTCTAAAGTTCTAAGAAACAGCTGTATCTTCTAGATTGAGGGCAGCAAACTACGGCCTGCAGGCGAAATCTGGCCAGCTGCCTGTTTTTGTAAATACCGCTGCGCTCTTAGCCTGCTGGCTGCTCTCATACTACAACAGCAGAGTTGAGTAATTTCAACAGAAACCATATGGCCTGCAAAGCCTACAATATTCAATATCTGGCCCTTTACATATAATGTTTGCTGTCCCCTGTTCTAGATACTTGCTAGGGACAAATGGCCCCAAATATAGAGCCTTTGGAGAACAAGGTCCAATGGTCATCTAAAATGAAATGAAACAGGATAATATGTGTAGAAAATGTACAAATGTTCATTTAGAATATAATTCACAAGATAAAATCAGTAAATAGTTCTTTTGAAAACAAATATTTAATATTTTAACTTTTACAGGAAAGAAATTTAAATAACATATACTTATTTTTGCTGTTGACTTGATCATTTTACAAAGGTGACAAAAACACAGAAAGTTCTGTGAAATTCAATGAAAAGCATAATATTGGAAATTTTCTTCAGCTTTCCACTTTAATGGCCGAAGATACCACACAGACTTGTGCGATGTCATCATATTCATATGTTCTCTTTAAGAACGTGTCTGTTAGTCTTAAGCCGGAGACGCTCTATTGAGAGAAAGATACAGGCCTAAGTTTTCACTCATTGGTAATTACCAGAGAAAATAGGGATATAATAAATGACTATGGGTTAATAGCCCCCCAAATAGTGAAATTATTAAAAAAAAGAGCATACTTGCAGTCCCTGGACTGAAGACAGTAGAGTAAGAGCAAGGCAGAGAGAGGAACTTGGATGTAGCTTTCCAAGCTGTCTTCCTGAAATACCACACCAGTGGATGGAATTGGTATTGCACATTTCCAAAACCAGATCCATAGTCCTTTCACTGCTGGAGGAATCAGAAAAACAGGAATAAATCTTGTTCCTTTCACAAAGAGGTACTGCGATATTTCTTCCACTGTTGCCAGTGAATTTGTTTTCTGGGTGTCCAGGAGAACAAAAACCAGAAACAGAAATGAAAAGCTACTGTATCATTTTTATTTCACTTAAGATGGAATCAGGAAAATGAAAGGAGATGGCATCTTCTAGGGTTTAAAGTGGCACTGAGACTAATCTGCCTGTCTGGATGTAGCCTTCTGATTCTGTTACTGAACACTGGCTCCCTGGTGCTGATCTGTTAACAGCCTTGCCATTTCTCTGAGAGACTTCCAGACACCTGTGTCTAACCTTGTTGCTATGTATCCTTCCTATTTCTGTTAGGTACTCTGCAGAAAAAAAGATAAACTGAGTCTGGTTCAGTGCTTTTGCTATTTAACCTATGTTCTTTTACCACACAGATAACATAGAAAATGACCGACAAGATTTATAAAAAGTAAATACTATTCATGTTTGTTCACTGTTAACATGAAAAGACTACTTCTGTTTATAACTGGTATCACCAGGTCAGCTTAACCATGTTAAGTTAAAAAAACTTTTTTTTTTCTTTGTGAGGAACATCAGCCCTGACCTAACATCCATGCCAATCCTCCTCTTTTTGCTGAGGAAGAGCCGCCCTAAGCTAACATCTATTGCCAATCCTCCTCCTTTTTTTCCCTTTTTCTCCCCAAAGCCCCAGTAGATAGTTGTATGTCATAGTTGCACATCCTTCTAGTTGCTGTATGTGGGACGCGGCCTCAGCATGGCCGGACAAGCGGTGCGTCGATGCGCGCCCGGGATCCGAACCCGGGCTGCCCGTAGTGGAGCGCGCGCACTTAACCGCTAAGCCACAGGGCCAGCCCCCCTAAAACAACTTTTAATGAAAGTATGCATTGTTTATTTAAAAAAAATAACCAAGACTCATAATGAAAAACAGTCTCCTACTCCACCACCATTCATGACTACTTTCAACTCCTTTAGCATTTTTTCTAATAGTTGGCTCCATATTTTAAAATACTTAAATTTTAATTTGATTTTTAGACATATTGATTTAATAATTAGCTTTTCTGTGTCTTTGTGTCCCCGACAAACATTTGAAAAACAGAGTGAGTGGTATGTGCCACAGACCAGGTTAGATGCACTACATGAATTTTCTTATTAAATTTCACAAAAATCTAGTAAGTGTATGTTGTATGTATGTGCGTGTGTGTGTGTGGGGGGGGGCGCAGTGATCCCATTTTTATAGATGAGGAAACTGAAGATCTAAGAAACAAATGCTTTTTAGAAAACTTATATGAATCACCAAAGTTAGAGTGAACAGCAAAAGAAACTGAATTTATTTTTTAGAGCACTCTGTCATTTGGTCAATAACTGATTTGCTGTACCTCAAAAAACACAAAACAAACAAAAAATCCAAAAGCACACCCTATATGCACAGGGTCTTTACCCTGTGTATGTTGTTTACTGAGCTCCTATGATATGGTAGGCACTGCATTTACAATGCTGGGTAAGAAATGGCCCCTTCTCTTGAATAATTCACAATAGTTGAGGAAGAAACTATTATAGCAATATATGAGTATCACTAAAAAACTGTATTAAAATTTGCTGTGACAGAGAAAAGGATGATTGTGCGTGGGAGGGTATAGGTAGCTTCACAGGGGAACTAGGTATTTTTGTAATTTTGAAGGATGAATATTTCCTATTTCCCTAATATCAAAGTTGGAATGGATATGGAAGTAAAAAGGATTATACATTCACACTATAAGGTTTGGGATTCATCACTGCAATATTATCAAAATGCCCCAACTAATAATACATACCAAGTAATAAGTAGTAGCAAAAGTGATAGGACTGGAATTTAATTCTAGGTTTTTCTGGCTTCAAAGCCCCATGCTCTTTGCTTCCCAATAGCTAGATTATACTCTCCTTATTATCAAAGCCCTGTTTTGCATTCTTTGATTATCCCTTATATTAAATTCATAATCAATTTTTACTCTCATAATACTAAAGTACAGTATTATGAAAGGCATAAATATGGCTCAGAAAAATCTATCTTATTACATTAAATCTATAATGTATTATTCCATAAGAACCTACTAGTTCATGCTTTCATAATCTAAAGTGTGAAGGAAGTGTAAACAATGAAAAGAACATGGACTTTGAAGTCAAATATACCTGGTTTCAAATTCTGGCACCAGCTTTTCTAGCTCTCTGAGCATGAATACAGTCACTTAACCCCTGAGGTGGCATTCTCTTGCACAGAATGTGAATAATTAGTACCTACCTGAAAGAGTATGATGCATGAATGAAATAAAATACAAACATGCCTAATATAGCAGGACCTCAAAAATATGTAATGTATAGCTACCAGATGAGACCTTTACAGTATTCAACATCAACATCAGAGAAGGCTATATGGAAAGAGAAAACTTAAAAGGAGGCAGCATATTTAAAAGATTTTAAAATTCTCTTTTAGGTAGGTGAAGAGGAAAGGACATCCATCCACAAACACTGGCATTACCTGCAGTTTGTTATTTTACAGGTAATATGAAAAGGTTCTTCTAGGTTTACGGTATCTGGGATTGCCTCCAAAGACAACCTAACATCTCCATAACCTGGAGCCTAAAAGAAAAAGCAACACAGTTAACATACATCGACCATAAAACCTTTCCATTTTAATGATGGTACCACACCAGCACACTCACTCAACAGTTGTTGGGTCTCCAAGCTGATGTTCTGAAGGAATACTTCTTAGTCATTCTACTGTTGTTCATTCTGACTTCTTTGGCTGCTACTACCTGTGGAACAGCACTATAGACCCTCACTGTTTTTGCTACAATAACCCCATGTTCAGTAGAATTAAAATGAATCTCACAGGTAAATAGTAAAGAAATTTCAGGGGGTCTGATCTTAAAGGGAAGCTTTCCAAAGATACTGTAGCTTACACATACATAACTCTAAATAGGTAACGTTACTGCCTAGACAGAAAAGGAAGAGCACTTTGATATGATTCGGGAAGAAAATCATGTCCTCTTCACAAGATACATAGGCAGGGGCAAACTACAGAAACATCAAAGCTTGGAACATGCCATGGCAGGATGACAGCTAAATGCTATATTTTGAAATAGGCCCAATGATAATCCTTATTTCCCCCCAATTATTACCTCAAATGGTGAAAGAAAAGTAAATTTTAGAATATACCACAATATGTAGTATTCAGCACAAAGGGAGGATTCTGTAGCATATCCTCCCTAACACAAGAAAAAGAAAACTGGTAGCTATCTCTACTCGCAGAGCAGAAATTAGGTAAAATATCCAACCAATGCTTACAAGATAACGTTAGTGGGACTTCCCTTCTGAGTTTCAGATGACTCAGATTTCAAACATCTTAAAAAAAGGTATGAACTGAGTAGGTGAATGTAGTAAGTCCAAGAGTTTTAGAACATTGCAAAAAAGAAAACTTGAATGTAGTAGAAGTCAGATGAACAGTGAGCCCGAATTACCATAGGAGGGAACAATTGAGAGGCAGATATTTTAATTTCTGTTTGGTAAAGTAAAAAACCATACATCATAGATAAATTAACATTTGAATATTTTTCATTCATCTCAATACCAAATTTCTTCCTAGAGATCAGCGAAATTATTAGTCTTTTATCTCTTATTCTCTAGTAATATTAATACCTTTTATAGTGCTAGACCTAGGAAAATCTGAGTTGTTCTAACTATCTACCCCACACACACCACAATGCCCACTGATGTTTTTTCCAGACTCACCATTCTTTGAAGTTGGCTGGTCTGTAATCTTCCCCTTTCACCTAGATTTGTTTTCCACACTATATCCAATTTTCCAATTACTGTTACTCCTTTAATGATGCCTGCTTTTTCTGCAAACTCCTTCTTGGGCTTTAGGCAGTACAAGTACTGGCGTGTATCCATTGGCTGCAAATATGCTCTTGACCCAAACGTAGTTACACTGAGGGGGTGGAGATAGAGATGGAGAAAATTCTCTAGAATTTTCTAAAAGAAAACATGGCTGTGATTGTTACTTTGAATGGGAACTGAATTATTTACCATCCAAAGATCTAGAATAGAACAGGTCAGTGGTTTCAACACAAATGAAAAGGACTTGTGCTGAGAGGATTTATTTTTCTTTAATTTTTTTCAGTTGATAAGGAAAATCTTGAGGTTCTTTATAATAGAATGCAATATATTACCTAAAATATTGGACATGTATCAATTAACTGAAAAAATGCAATAGAAATCAGAACCTTAAATATCCTGTCTCTTTTCTCTAAAATTATCAAATATTTTAGAACAAGAGGAAACATACCATTCTAAACTAAGTAATCATTTTTAAAATGAACTAAAAGATCAGGAATGAATGAGAAAATTATTGTTTTCCTCAGTAGGGGTATGGGAGGCTACAAACTCTTTTGTGTTTAACCACTATAATAAGATGAAAGTAAACTTTTCATTCCTCATTAAGAAAATCAGATATTTACTCTAGCTATTACTTGCTTATCCATACTAATGTCAACCCTACATTTATTTATTCTTCCTCTTCTAAATTACCTATAGAAAGACATATGAACAATCACGTGCCACATAACGATATTCTGGTAATGACGGACCACATATAAGACAGTGGTCCCATAAGATTAGTACCATACAGCCTAGGTGTGTAGTAGGCTATACCATCTAGGTTTGTGTAAGTACACTTTATGATGTTTGCATGATGACAAAAATTGCCTAACGACACATTTCTCAGAATGTATCCCTGTCATTGAGCGATACACGACTATATTTCATTTTCACAAAAAATTAAATCATCTATTCCTATGCCCACTCCTTTTGATGTTGAGAGAATATTTCTTCTTAAAAGTCACTCTCACCCTTACACTAACTTCTCCACCATTCTTTCCCATGCCTCAGTTTTATCATTTGCAGGATAAGGATGAAACTGAATTATTATGAAAATTAAAAGAATAAGTGCTTCAAACAGTAAAACATAAAATGCAAATGGCCAGGATCTTTAATTTGTGTGGGGGGTGGATGAATAGGTGGAGCATGGGAGATTTTTAGGGCAGTGAAACTATATTGTGTAATACAGTAATGGTGGCTACATGTCATCACATTTGTCAAAACTCATAGAATGTACAACTCAAAGTGTGAACCCTAATGGAAACTATGAACTTTAGTTAACGATAAGTATCAAAAGTAGTTCATCAGTTTTAACAAATGTGTCACATTAAAACGAGATGTAAACAATTAAACAATAGGGGACACTGAGTGGGGAGGGAGGCATGTGAGAGCTCTGTGCTTTCTGATGAATTTTTCTTTGAACATAAAACTTCTCTAAAAAGATAAAGTCTATTAAGTAAAAGAAAATTATAAACCACCCTAGAGTAATGGATGTTAGAAAAGTTCATATCTTTCAAAATAAGAACAAACACTTCATAATTCATATTTACCATTCTCCAGCTTGGTTGACTGAATTTAATTCTGCTACATTATACATGATAGACGGCTCCAATGAAACTTTCTCCATAAACATGGGTGAGGTTGTAATATTCTGAATCTGGGCTTCCAGAAATACTTCATCAGTCTGAGGATATGAAAAAAATATCCACTAAAGTGTGACGATATTTAAAATATTTACCTCAACAAAAACATCTGATCTATCTGAAGAAAAAATATTAACCACAAATGTGATTAGTTCATGCCTGCAAATCAAAGTTATAATAATTAATCAAGAAAAGAAATCTTCATCCTAACATAATTAACAGGGGCAAAGTGAAGTGTTAGTCAACTGATAACTTGTTAAACAATGGATGAGGGATAACTGTAATATTTTTTGTATTAACGTCCAAAAATATTTATTTAACTCGAATTTCATTCACAAATATCTTAAATCTTCTAGTAAGTCATTAACATGTTAAAATGTGATTTAGGGGGCCGGCCCGTGTGGCCTAGCGGTTAAGTGCGCGTGCTCTGCTGCTGGCAGCCCGGGTTCGCATCCCAGGCGTGCACCGACGCACCGCTTGTCAGGCCATGCTGTGGCAGTGTCCCACATAAAGTGGAGGAGGATCGGCACGGATGTTAGCCCAGGGCCAGTCTTCCTCAGCAAAAAGAGGAGGATTGGCATGGATGTTAGCTCAGGGCTGATCTTCCTCACAAAAAAAA